CGTCATTTTTGTCACACTCAATGGCTGATGCGGAACAGCCCGTATCGGAGTCCGGCTCTAGATCGTCATCTAGAGACAGATCATCCGCATAGGACTCATCTTCAGCCTCCCGATGATCGTGCAATGCAAGCTGGTTGCTGCTTCCAAACCGCTTGCGTTGTGGTTTCCCACCTGCAGCGGGCGCCTTCTTGCGCCTGGCGAGGTCCTTGGCCTCTAGGTTGACTAGGTCCTTCATGAGCTCTCTCCAGGTGGCATGGTCCTTGAGTGCTAGCAGGGAGAGGTATTCTTTAGGGCCCACTCCCATGACTACATCCATACAAGATACGTCAGTCATTCCCAGATCCGGTGTGGTGAACAAACCAGTCAAGTGTTGTTCCAAAGCCTGCATGGATGACCTCCAAGTTTCGCCTCAAGCTTCAGTCTAGCCTTGAGCGCAGCATGTTTATCTTGGTACCGGTCAAGGAGAAGATCCTCAAGAGCGCGGACAGGGGTGACCTTCAGCCAATCAGTCAGGTCTATGCGTTCATAGCCTGCAGCGACAACTTGGAGCTCAATGTGGTTTCGTACGATAGACTCCGTATTAGTCCCCATTATCATACTTCGGTCCTTTTGCGGTGTCCGCATGACCTCGAAGTACGACCGCATGGAACTAATCCAAGAGGTGATGTCCGCCTTCCCGTCGTACTTGGACGGCAGCGTGGCCGCCCGCTTGTCCACCATTGGACTGCTGTACTGAACGCCAGTAAGGACCGTGGCGTTTTGGGCTGAAGTCCCTGCATTCGGGACCATGACCAGCGCAGAACTGCTGGCGCTGCCGCTCGAGGAGCTGGCGCCGGTTCCTGCCCTTGCCATGGTTCCACTTGATCTTACTACGAGGGTTGTGTTTGATTGAGAGACCGGGACTACAGCAGACCGAGGGTTAGGAGGGCGGGGGGCAGACAACTGGGACTGTTCTAGGCTAATTACCTTAGCCTGCAGCTCTTGGTTCCGCTGCTCAAGTGCTGCCACACAGAACTGGAGGTCTTCCAAGTTCCGCAGCTGGACCAAGGCTGCTACGGCAGCAACTAGCCTCTCCTGGAACCGGTCAGCATTGGCCTCCGGGACTTGTAGGAGGGCCTCCTAAGCAGCTATGCTTGTAGCTCTAGCTGCTGCCTCTGCCTCCCTTTCCCTCTATACGGCTTCGTCATACAACTTTTGAAAGAACGGTTTCTGGCTCTCGTCTGCTGCGTCCAGCATGGCCTGCCATTGGGCAGATGTGATGACCGCCATGCCGGAGGAAGGGGTGTCAGTAGAACTCTCAAGAGGGGTCCGCTCTCTCCTTACGTTTGGACGAACACTCCTCTTGCCCCTTCTCACACTCTCAAACAGCACACCTTCTCTCTCCCTTTCCTCTCTTTTCGCTGTCTGCGCACGCGTCTCGATACCGGACATGAATAGTTCAGATAAAAGAAACAAACAGAAAACCACTCAGAGAAGAAGGTAGAACTCCTAGCCGGAGCGGCAAATCATTTGGACTTAGAGCGTGGCACGCATCAGAAAAAAAAAAAAAAAAAACAGCAGAGAGGTCTGATTTATAGAAAGGGCCCGATCAGATCAGCTGGAGATCCCCTCTTGTCTAACCTGACAGGGGACATGTATCACAATAAATCAGACGAAGAAGACCAATCTGCAGCAAAGGAGATTTCGAGGGGTGCAGATGGTCGCCGAGTCAGACGCGGGGCAGTATGTGCTAACATGCGGTAAGGCCAGTCAAGATCCCCTTTAAAGGGATTCCCTTGCTGTCCGTATGCCTACCCGACCCGCTACCGGCGTGTCTACCCCCCTGGAACACTCACAATCACGGCCACAGGTAAGTACCGGCCCGGGGAGGCCTTGCAACCAACAAGTACCCTTGCGGGTCACACACACATACCCAACCAGCAAGCACTCAGACAGGCATCCAAACCAGCAGGCACGCACACACACACACACGGCAAGCACTCAGACAGGCATGCAAACCAGCAGGCACGCACACACACAGACTTGGGACCACAACAGAATGCGGGAATCACAGCAAGGCATTCATTCCAGTGACAATCCCAGAAATCAGCAGTGTTCTCAGTCTGTGTTTTTGGCGGGTCATTACACCTCATTGAATTTTGTCAGACTTGCCTGGAACAGGGCCTAGGACTACGCGATCTTCGTTTGGTTTGTTTTTTGTTTCGTTTTTCGACTTTGCTACAACGACGAGGGGACCAGGGTTCTGCTGCCCTTAGGTCTTGCTCGCCCATCAGATTTTGTGGGTTTGTTTTTTTATTTCGTTTTTGGGCTTTGCTAATACGACGAGGGGACCAGGGGTCGGCTGCCCTTGGGTCTCGCTCGACCATCAGATTTGAGGTTGGCCCAAGGACCGAAAGGACGTCAGGGTCCTCGAGTACCAAAGGGGTCAACGGTTTTCGACGTACTGGGATGGTTATTAACAGTGTTGTCGAGGTAATTTTCCTCTTTCAAGACCAACGGTTCTCTGCGTCGGCATTTCTGGGAATGCCGGCTCACCAGAGACACGGAGGAGGGTTAGAGGTGGGAAGGAGTATGTGGGGTAAGGAAGGAGGAACCCCCCTGAGGATGACTGCACGGCGGCAGTCGAAACGTGCGTCGGGAGCCAGTTCTGTTTTATAATTCTGAGTACTTTGCCATCTTTGGCATTTGTCAAAGTGTGACGGGTGCTTCTGCTTAAGTTGTGCTTTGGCTCAAGTTACCTATTGCAATCAAACTCGACTCATTCACACTTCTAATGCATGTGAACAACAGAACAACAGACTGGCGCCATGCGCCCACACAGAACTCAGAGATATGGCTTCCAGGTAACAGTTCGCTTCCACTGGCTATGGCGACTGTGCGCCTCAAACAACTCACTGTTCACACTCCGCATCACCCTCGATGTCCCACACGCGATACTCAGAACACACACACAGTACACACACTTTGCACCCTACACTAAGCTATGGCAGCTATGGCTGCCTCTACCTATCACTATGGCTACCGTGCTTCACTCTCGCCCACTTCGTCTTCGGGCCTTTCAGCAGACCTCCTTGCACAAGACGCTGAAGCAGCGCTTTCGCATGGCTGCCGCATGAATGAATGAATGGATGGGCGCAGCCTCTTGATTTATACTTTTGTGCTGCGTTGTCTGCCCTGTACCCCTGGCCCATCGTGCACACAGTCCCAGATGGTACTTGCTGGACTGGACCGGACTGGGTGGACTGGGACTGCTGACTGTGCTAGGTGGACTACCACCACTTGACCACTTGCCTCTGCTTAACGCAGGCTCACTCCGAAAGGCCACTTCTAGAAACTTCTAACTTGGCCTTTCGGTACTGTAGCAGCTACGACTTTGCCCTTTCAGGTAAGTAGCAGCTACGACCTTGACCCTTCAGGCAGTCTACAGTTACGACCTCTAAACTATCTAGACTCCTACCCTACAGGTCTACAGTTCAAATTCCTTCTACCCTGTGACCTACGAGAAACTACCTACCACTGGCAGTCCTACAGGTAGCAGGTTCAAATCTGCGGGTTGACGCCGGTACTGTACACAGGTAAGGTGGGGAACTAGGGATCTACATAAGCTACTGCGAACTGGTGAATACCATTTCACTCTCGCCGGCCTAAATTCGACGTCCTCGAAGAAAATTTCAGTCCAAGGCAGGACCTTTACCTCTCTGTTGTCTTTCGTAGGCCCGGATTATATCGGGAGTTGTCTCCAGAAGTTCAGATCTCGTAAACCAGCGGTCGTCTTACTGTCTCTGTGGACGACCCCTACCTCCAGTTCTGAAGACATCTTCAGCCACTATACCATCGATGTCATATCTTCCATCCATATCCGGTGGGATCATCGATCTACGGGATGGAAACTGATCACTTGTTTGACAAGGCAATAACTTCGATGCATGGAAAACTGGCTAAGTGTGGAGGTGTGCTGGGAGTTCTATGGTATAGGACGGTCCATCTTCGTCGCCCTTGACTTCTAGAACGGGCCACGGTCCTCTATATGTGGCCAGTAACTTCTGCGGGATGTTGTCCTCAGGTGCAAACTCCTTAGAACTGACCCAGACTAAGTCGCCTACTTGAAACTGTGAAGGGCGACGATGCTTGTTCGCTTGCTCTATCATCCTCTGTTGGGCCTTCCTGAGGTTCTTTACAACAGTAGCTAGTTCTTTCTCGTGCTGTACAGCAAACTCCCTGGTCCCGGGTGGCAATCTGTGAATCTGATCCCGGTTGAGTCCTTCAAAGGACTTGTGCAGTTCGTTGGGAGTGCGGCAAGTGGACAGATGCACGCTGTTATTGTACGCACTAGCTACTTTAGGCAGCATCTCATCCCAGTTAATCTGATCTGGCCTAATATACATGCGCGAAACTTGCTGTAGGATCTTGTTCATTTGCTCAGTCTGACCGTTAGTCTTTGGATGGCGGTCAGACGACATCAACAACTTACATCCATATACTCCCATGAGTTCTTGCCAGTTCTGGCTAGTAAAGCGACTATCTCTATCGCTAACTATAGACAGTGGGAGTCCATTCTCACTCACCCAACAGTCAAAAAACCTCTGTATGACTAAATCTGTACGTGCCTCTGAAGGCAAAGGAACAAAAACTGCGTACTTACTAAAACGGTCAACTATGACCATGACTTGGCTCTTGCCATGCCTGCTCTTGACTTGAGTGTCCATGAAGTCTATGGATACTGAGTCTCCCGGCTGGTCCGAAATGGGCAAGGGTCTAAGAAGACCTAGCAGAGCACCCGTAGAAGTTGTTACGCTGACAGACTTTACAACTGCGAACATACTCTACGCAGTCATTCTTCATCCCTGGCCAGGTATACGCGCGCATTAGGTTGGCTAAAGTCTTTTGCCAACCAAAATGACCCTCTGTGTCGTGGCATTCTCCCAGAATCAGACTACGGATCTCTTCACTACGGGGAATGCACATGCAGTCAAATACATTAGTCTTCTCAAAGAGCAACCCTTCGGTAGTGCGGTAGTTCGGTTCAGTCTCTGGGGCCTCTTTGACTTTCTTAAGGAGGTCACTGTAGATAGGGTCCTGCGCCTAGGCTTCTCTAACCTTCTGCTGCAGATCCTTCCCTGTATCGAGGTAGTGTACTATTGTCCCAAAGTAATCAGCTCTTCTACTCAGAGCATCCGCGACTACGTTATATTTCCCTTTGACTGGCTTGAGCTCAAAGTCGTACTGATCTATCTCCGCGGCCCACCTAGTAAGCTTAGGTGTCATCTTGACCTGCGTCTTTAACCATCTTAACGTCTCATGGTCTGAGTAGACTTTGAAGTGCCTCCCAAGCAAGTAGTGCTTCCAGTGTTCTAAGGCTTGCCTGAGAGCGTAGAGTTCCCTCTCATAGGTAAATGTCGCAACCTTCTCTGAAGGCATTCTGGCGGACATGAACTCTACGGGTCTATAACCATTGCCATCGTCTTGCTGTAACACGACACCTATGCCRTACTGGCTAGCGTCCGTAGTGACGACAAAGGGCAAGGACGGATCGGCGACCTTAAGGACTGGATACTCTATCAACGCCTGTTTTAACTTCTTCATAGCAGACTTGCAGTCCTTATCCCACTTCCAGATGGTCTCCTTTCTGAGCAATCTGCGAAGGGGCGCAGCGATGGTGGAGAAGTTCCTCACGAACTTCCTATAGTAGTTCGCTAGGCCTAAGAACGACCTCAGTTCTGTGAACGCCCGCGGTGTTGGCCAATCTCTAATCGCTGCAATCTTACTATCTTCCGGCTTGACGCCGTCTCCGTCTAAGACGTGGCCTAGGTACAAAACTTGGGTCTTTGCCCAATCGCACTTCTTGAAGTTAGCTTCCCTCAGCTTCTCCAAGACCTGCCTGAAATGACCCTGATGCTCGTCGAGGGTCTTACTAAACACTAAAATGTCATCCAAGTAAACTACGACGAACCTGTCTAACCATGGCCTAAACAAATCATTCATACACCGCTGAAAAGTTGTTGGCGCATTGGTTAGTCCAAAGGGCATCACTATAAACTCATAATGCCCGTACCTAGTCCGGAAGGCTGTCTTGTGCTGATCATCAGGATGTACCTCCATCTGATGATATCCGGACTTTAAGTCTATCTTTGAGAAATACTTGGCCCCTTGCACTCGATCTAAGAGATCGTCTATCCTAGGCAGTGGCTCAGCATTCTTCACTATAATAGCATTCAGACCCCTATAGTCTATGCACATTCTCAGCTCTCCCTCTTTCTTAGGAACAAAGAGAACAGGCGCTCCAAAAGGAGACGAACTGGGCCTAATCCAACCCTTCTCGAGGAGCTCGTCTAATTGCTTGCGAAGCTCCTCTAACTCCCGTGGGGACATCCTGTACAAAGCGCCCTTAGGAGTTCTACTGCGAAGCTCTATCTCAATGCGGTGCTGGATGGGCCGCGGTACTACTCCTGTCGGCGACTCAGTTAGATCCTTGAACTCTTCCAGCAGGTTGGCAATTGCAGGGTCCGTCGGCTTTTCTTCGGTAGGCTCAGTCACTGGCCTAACATAGGCAACAAAGACCTGTTCCTCCAATTTCTCCTTCTTCACTAATCTAGCGAATGCAGGCGCACTAAGGCAGCAATGTGCCAAGGGATTCTCTACTCCTGACACATGGAACAAGCGGGCAGTCTTAGCCTCGCCTGAAGAGCTAGGGATCCTACACTCATGCTCCTTCAAATGGAGCGTGGCCCCGACTGCCTCTCCCCAATCCATTCCCACGACAACATCAAATGGGAGGCTGTCTTCTACGAGGAGAGTCAGGGAGTGGAAAACCTTCTCCACTTTCTTATCCTTCTCTAGGTGAAAATACGCCTGGACTCCCTCTACATACTCCTCTACAACCATAGTACGATTGTCTGCGAGGATACTAACTATAGGGTCTGCTAGCTTTTGGACTTCAAGTCCCAGCTTCAACTTCTGCAGCGCTTTCTTGCTAATATAGCTGCGGGTGGTCCCTGAGTCTACTAGGGCCCCTACTCTGCCTCTAAAAATCTTTGTATCTACTAATATAAGCTGTCCCTTATTCTCCTTTCTCATCTTGGTCCAGGCGGGCATCCTCTCCTTCAACTCTTCGCCCACGCCTGTGAGGGAGGTGTCTAGAGAGACTCTAACACAAGCAGTCTCTGGACAGCCATCTAGACACCGACCTGCAACCTCTTCCATAGGCACATGTGGTGTGGGAGTCTCCTGCCGGCTAGCGCTATGTTCCCCACATGGCCTAATGGTAGGGGCAGTTGCTACCCCTACCGGCGGCTGCCTTTTGGCCCTTGAGCAGCCGTTCGGGTCTCTCGATACTTGGGACAGTATTTGATGATGTGGGCCGGGTCACCGCAGAAAATGCACTGGCCCCGGTCCAATCGTTGCTGCCATAAAGTCTGGTCCAGACCCAAAGTTTGCCAAGGCCTACCCTGCGGTAGCCCTGGGTGCCATCCTCCTACCCTATAGGGAGACCTATTCCTAGGACGGTTTTGCGGGGGACCTTGACCCCTGCCTCCCGCTTGGCGGTTTCCTCCTCTGCCGCCAACACCCTGATCGCCCTGAAACCGGCTCCCTGAGGCCCGGCCCCCTTGGCCCTGGCCTCGTCCTCCTTGCGGCCTCCCTCCAGCTGCGACAGCAGCGTAAGTCCTCCCTTGGCCCACACCGCTGTCCTCCTCCTCTAACCCCCACTCAATCTGATCGTAGGGGATCTCATCCACACTACCCTCATCTAAAGTTAGGACAAGGCTATCTTTAGTCTTCACCTGCCCAGAGATAGTGCGGCCCTTCCATTGCTTTCCCTTATCCAAATCTTTGTGCCAGAAGGTGGAGACTGACACAGATTTTGCCTCAAAGGCCACCACTTCACGGCTAAGGGAATCGTAAGTGGTGGCAGGGTCTTCGCTCTTCGCGAAGAAGTGCCCGCTAAAAGCTTCGGGCATCGCTCTATAGAAGAGGGCGACCAACTGGGTGTCTGTAACCCCATGGTCAGGGACAGCAACCAATTCGTCCATTGTGCTCTTGAGTGCCCTGACACTCTTCCACTTACGGGCATGGATCGTCTGGAGCTTGTCTGTCTGAGGCCTTAACACTGCGAGCGACATCAGCAAATCGCTCACGCAGCAGCTTCAAAAATTCAGCGAGGGAAGTGAACGAGGAGTACGCAATTGGATCGTCACTACAGTTGGCAGCGCGAACTAGGGACCTTGCAAAGCTGGCGGCCTCATCTCTAAGCGCGTGGATCGCAATTAGAACCTGCTGATCCAGGGAGACCTAGGGAGACCTGTTGCAGATGCACATAGGTCTTGACATTGGCCTCACAATTGTCAAAGTTCTCTTTCCGTTTTCCACTGTAGGAATCAGGGAATTTGACTTTGACCGGCTCCCGACGAGGAGGACGTGCTTCCTCCTCCTTGGGAGCGGCCGCTTTGACTCCTTCAATGGCGCCGGCACAAAACCGCTCAGTCTTCTCGAGGCGATGACCCACCAACTCGCGAGCAAAGTCCCGGAATCCCAACTTTATTGAACGCACCGCTATGTGTTGACTCCTACTAAAGTCATATTGCTCCGCCTGCATTCGTGCCAGGCATGCAACGTTTGGTCTATGACTAGCATTTGGTTTGGGAGTTCGGTCTGGGCGGCTAACTGCTCTTCTATCTTTTGTACCTCCTCCAATTCTTCTGCCGCCTCCGCTGCAGCGTCTACTCTCCTCTTCTTCTCCCTCATCACGGCCAATTTCCACTCCATCCTCTTTTCGTCTTCCAACGCCTGCCGCTTTACGACATCTTTTTTCTGCTTCCCAGGCTCTCATGGCGGCTTCCTGGTCATCCTTGGAGATACACATCGCCACCTCTTCTTCTTCGCCCAGGGATAAGTTGGTGACCCATTCCGAAATCGATTTTTCCATCTCCACATCTCTACTGCCACTGTACTGCCCTCTCTTCCTTTGCAGTGGCGTTTCATCTTCTTCCTCTTCCTCTTCCACCTCCTTCAACTTCGGCTCTTCTTTCTTTATTCTCTCCTTTTCTCTGGCCATCTCCTTGGCCTCCCTCTTCTCCCTTCTCTCTTTCAGGATGGCGGCGGCCTTGGCCTCCTCTTCAGGCGTATAGGGGTGTGTGGTCGTGCCACCCTTCGTCTCTACCCTACACGCGAAAGTGTTCCAGAACCCCAACGGGAACATGAAACGCCAAAGGGTCCCCCAAAGGGAGAACCCAACCAGCAACCCATACATCGGATAGTCGTCCATCGTGGTGTTAGGTGCACGACAATGTTCCATTCCTCACCACTTAGACCTACCCGGACACACTGACCTACAAACTGACTCTCTAAGGACCACAGGGTAAGACCCTGTCAATTATGGTCACTACCCAAGACTACTCTAAGGTTGTCACTACTGAACCAACAACTGATCAGGAGGCATTTAAGGAGATCCCCCAAACTCCGCAAGAATTCTTTAACGTCGCAGTCAGGACGACGTGATCAGCGTGGTTCTTCCTGGCGATTTCAGCCCACAACTCAACCGTTCCGGCCTACTGTGCCACACCGAGCAGCCCGCCGGTCTGTACCGATCCTTGGAGGGGTTCGTATCCCTCGGGACAGTCGAGTCGTCAGACACAGATCATCAGCCTTACTAGGTCCGGTAGGCGAGTGGTTCAACCAGGCCTCAACACTTAAAGACGGCCTTCGCTTCAGCGTACAGCTCGGAGTTCGGACCCTCTACACTGAAACTGAGTAGACCTGCCGGACAGTACCGGTCATTGGGCTAGACGAGTTGTTTAACGAGCACTCGCCGCTCATGCCCAGGTCTCCAGATGCCAGAGTAGAGATTAGTCCTACTAAGTCCCGTGCAGGTTTGGCAGCAAGGCCCTATCCTTCATCCACAGAGTCCTAACACCTAGGACAGAAGAGACTCAATGCAGAAAGGAAAGACAAACAGACTCAACTCAGCAAGTACCGTAGGGTGTGTGCACATCCACAGGGTAAGGGGATAGGCTGAGGGCTCAACGAGATATCACCAACTCCAGCTTGGTCAAAATCTTGGTCAGCAGCTCCGGTCAACGCCCTGGTCAACGGTGAGTCAACGCGGACAACTCTTGGTCAACGCCTGGTCAACCCTCCGGTCAACCCCTGGTCAACCCTCTGGTCAACGCTCTGGTCAACGCCCGGTCAACCCTTCACCTCGGCTATGGCTGTCGGCACCTTCACCTTTGTCACCCTAGCCGCTTACTTCCCCTTCCTTTACTCTTCCTCTTCTTCACTTCCTCTATTATTATTTTATTTTTTTTTGTTCACCCCCGGCTGTGTCTGTCTTCTTCTCCAGTATCCCTCCTTCCACACTTCTCTTTCTCTCTCCTTCAGTCCCTCCTTCTCTGTCCTCCTTGTCTCTCTCCTTCGATACCCTGTGATGATACTTCGCGGCTATGGCCGCTGCCTTCCTTCTCCACCAGACCACACAACTCGCCTCACAGGTAAGTGACAACCAATCTTGGATCGCTCATCTCTCTCTCTCTCTCTCTCTCTCTCTCTCTCTCTCTCTCTCTCTCTCTCTCTCTCTCTCTCTC